AACTGTCGACCAGTTGGTAGAAGACGAAAACTGAGTGGAATACCGCAAGACCCGATTCACATCGTCGAGACCAGATTTGCAAGGCCGACTTCAAGGTAATGAGGCACCAATCAATGAAAATGTCCACGATCTACTATGGAATGAGAGGAAACATGACTCACATACTGATGGTCCATGGGTCATTCGATGATGTAGCAGAGTTCCGATGTTAGGCACCCCTTAGACTTGAATGCGAGGTGAAAGAGGGGTTCAATATCGCAGTCTGGCGAAGCTGTCGATGATCTGAAAAATTCCAGTGATCCGAAATGCGTGCACACACCTAATCTAGAGACAACTGTAGTTTTGCAGTATGTAAGTTGGGTCATTTTGATGAAAACTGCTGGTGACTTTTGGGAAGCATTGAAAATCACTTCGTGGCACTCATAATGGAGGTGGCAGAAATACAAATTGATTGATTCACGTTATTTTGAATAGGATTTTATGCTTGCAAGTTAGACGATAAATATAAGACCTGTGGGAATCACGCCGTAGAACTTCCAACTCCTACGTCTTTCAATTTCTGGGAATGTTTGTGCAGAGAAACATGGTAATACCCACCTCCGTTGAGAGCAACAACACATATTGCGTGTTAGCGTCGAAATTTCTATTCAATTTGACGCTACTTTTCTGTATTTTACAATTTTTTTGCAATAAACTCAACCAATTTTGTTGATGTTATTGTACATGTTGTGGACCAAATGGCCAGACGATGGTACAGGAAAAGGAGTTTCACCAGGACTAAAGGGAGAAGCTATGAAGAGAGGGTGGTGAGTCGAAAAGTTGCTTTTCCAAACAACATGGCGTCATATTTAAATCATGTTCTTAATGCAATGATTAGCGAGGTTTCACCAAACAATCTGGCCAATTTATAGACTGTAACTAGAGCCATTCATGAACCCGTGAAACCCCAATTTGACGAATCAGCTGACTCGGAAATTTGTTTTCTTCCAGTTTGCCTAATCAAAATCAATTCGGTCCGAACTGCCATGTGCAATCTGTGGTCCCCCACCTCCCCCCTTCATTCCCAATTTGGCATATCCCCACAAGTGGCGTGTGATGGTCACCAGGGCAGTGATCTTTGGGCTGGGCCAACCTGTCACGTGACAGTTTGTCTCGGTTTGCATAAGACCCCGACGTGAAGGCACTAACATGCCTGCCCATCTCAAGATATTATTCCCATATGCGTTGGAAGGACTGTTACATCGCCTCATCGATAAACACTTAAAAAAACTGGGGATAGGAATGTTCTGTGTCTTGAAGACTCATACCGTGCATCTAGCAATCGATATCGCACTAAAGAGCCAATAAGATGAGAGTAAGACATAGCGCGCGCGGTCAATATAATAGTGGTGTGCGGTTAAATTATGATTTTCATTATTTAGTTAAATACTTTTTGCAAATTCAAAAATGTGTTGTGCTTGTGGATTAACTTAAAATCAAATGTCCAAATAATTGTGGTTCTGATTTAATCAGAGCATTGCCATAAAGTTCAAATCGTGTTTTTTAATAATTATGACCTCGTTAGCGAGAAAATTGTGCAATATTTTGATAAAGATTTTGGTGTGATTTCTACGAATTTGCTTTAATTTGTACCGAAATCTTTGATATTTGTGCCGAAACCACATTACTGTGGACCGTGATTAACCCTGGACAAGAATTATTTTATTTTGCCTTTCTAAAAGCGCAATAAAATATAAGACTTTTAATGCAAGAAGTGACTGATGTCGCAATTTTTGCCAAAATCGTTTCCTAAAATATTTTCGGAATTCTATGGTTTCCATATTACAGTTTGAGATGGTAATCCGAGTAGAACAAATTTTTAGCAAAAATGGTAAGTTCCAGCAGTGTTAGTTATAGAATAATTTAATTACTGTACATCCTATTACGACATACGCCATTCTAAATGGTAATTTTTAACGCAAATTTGATTGGATTCTGGAGGCGCGCGCAGGCTACGAATTTGGTCCACGGATAACTGACGACGAAATCGATCGATTTGAGGGAGATTCAAGTCACTCGGGACCAGTCCACTAGTTAGGCCGCTGAGATAACCTTGTGGCTTGAGTTGCCACAGCGTGGGTTCAAATTTCACTCAGAAAAGAACCCCAACCCTCGTTATCAGGTATCAGGCGAGAACTGTCCGCACTGTAAGTGATGCTTTGAGCCTCGATGAATATATTTAAGCAATTACAACCAGCTTATTTTGACATCCTTGTGTCAAAAAAGCCAACTTCGACTTTCAGGCACAAAGACCCCGTTCCTGCGATACCCACAGCCCTTCCTCCACCAGTCGCGCCAAGTCCCTCCACATACCATGACGCCCTCTCTCGTCGAAATTCCTACTCCACCCACTTCAAATCATTCCGTAAATTCGGCTACCTCTTCCGCAACAAAAACGAGGCTGGCTGATCCGCCGAACCCACCGCAGCAACAGACGGGGGAGGTCGGTTACGAGACAGATTCGTCCAACTTCTTCCAACAAGGCGAAGCTCTGGACGCCGAACGGGCTCGCACCTACAGC